TTTGTATTTTACATTAAAACTTACATACATTTATGTTTTCAAAGCTGTAATAAATAAAAACTGAAATACAATAGAAATGAACGCATTTTATTTAAACGGTTTAGTATTTTGTTTAATTCACATTTATTTTTTTGCTGTTGGAAAGGTGTGTACATATTTTGCATTTGACATTTCATATACATACATACAGTCATGTGTAAAACAATAGCTTCCGAGCAGTTTTTGTATTTTTCTTTTGTTTGTTTCATGTTTATTATTTTTTTTTGAATACAGCTAGTTATCTAACAAAAACCATAAGTCCAAATTTCAAACTTTGTAGAAAAATTATAAAAATTCAACCAATTTTTGCAACAAAAACTAAACTTTGTATTAGGAACTTTTAGAAAAATTCTAATTATGCAGTTTTATAGGCCATTAAAATCTAGTTTAATAAAGTGCAAGTTTCAAGTGTCTAGATCTCGCGTTGAGTTTAGGTAATTTGTTTGCCGGTGGTATTATTTTCCGCCATACGAACAAAATTGTTGAACATACTGCGGAAGAAAATGCCTGATACCCTCAGCAAAAAAGATTATAAAAAATCAACGCGAATTATTCGTCACTTCAAATCTGCACTTTATTGAGCATTTAATGGGGTATAGAACTGCATACTTAGAATTTTTCTAGAAATTCTTAATAAAAAGTTTGTTTTTGTTGTAAACATTTGTTGAATTTTTCTAATTTTTCCACAAAGTTTAAAATTATGACTTATGGTTTTTGTTAGATAATTAGCTGTATTTTTATAAAAAATAATAAGCATGAAACAAATAAAAGAAAAATAGTAGAAACTGGTCAAAATGTCGTGTACCTATTATTTTTCTCACAATTTACTCAACAAAACTCGCAAATATCAAAAATGGAGTTATCAGTTGTATACATATGTATGTATGTACCTAGCAGCACACATACTTATGTACATATACACACACATATCGTGATCAGTACCATTACACAAGTTCAAGTACTTTGGTACGTACAAATAATGCTTTGCTTCTTATAAAATAAGTAACGTCAGTACTAAAATACTCCCACTTCGGATTATAAAGGTATAACTACGGTGATTACAATTACTTTTGAAATACTGCATATTATATCACAAAATTTGTCGTTTGCGTTATTAAAAATAATTGCAAGTCATCTTTTTGTAGTTTAAGTAAAAGTTGTAAGTACCAATACATCAGTATGGCTGTATTCTTAAACGCATCAATGCAAAACATCCGTCTTTTTTTATTTCCACACCAAATTGCAAAACTTTATTTAAAATTGGTTGTTGTTTTTGTTGTTGTAGCGGCTACAACAACGCTGCCCAGGACGGTTGGTATCTCAGTCGTTGTCGTCAAGTTCCACTAACGGCAGCCCTAGGAAGTGTGCAGCTTCTGTAGGGTTGGTCCACAGGGACAAGGCCGTAAGGGTTGTCGGGTTTTCCGGGCATGTGAAGAGATGTTTCGGGTCATGTGGGGTCTCTCCGCATGCCGGACACTCATTTGGTACATCCTCATTCAGTCTACTCAGCTAGGAGTTTAACCTACTGCAGTAGCCGGAGCGAAGTTGTGCTAGTGTCGTTCATGTCTCCCGAGGCAGATGAAGCTCCGTCTCGTCTGTGTCCGGGGCGGTATGCCTAGAACGGCATTCACAGGTCTAGAGTCTACATAACTCGAGACTGACTCCCTGTGAATGCCGTTCAGGGCCAGTCGGTAAGCTGACGGGTCCAAAGGTTGCTTGATGAACCTCTGGACTTCGTCCGTCAGTTCATATAGATGCCTCCTGACGTGCCTAGGCGAGGACTCCTCTGCAAGCAGCTGACTGTTTGGGTGGCCACTTCTGTGGCTCCCGATCAGGAACTGCTTGCAGAGCATTATGTTGTGCTCCTTTACGGGGAGCATTTGCGCCTTGCCGTGGAGATGGTGTTCGGGCGACATCAGGAGGCATCCTGTCGCTGTCCTGAGTGCGGTGTTCTGTACAGTCTGTAGCTTCGTCCACTGCGTACTACTAGTCCCCGGCGACCACACTGGCGCTGCGTAGTTCAAAACCGGCCGGCCTATTTCCTTGTATGTTGCCCGCAACGTTTCTTTGTCTTTGCCCCAAGTACTGCCGGCTAGCGACTTGAGGACCTTGTTGCGGCTCTGTACTTTATTGACAATAGCGGTTGCGTGCGCAGAGAAGGAGAGCAGGCTGTCAACTGTTACTCCGAGTATTTTGGGGTTATTCAAAGTCGGAATTGGTGTGTCATCGACATGAATTCCCAGCGGTAGCCTGACCTCCTTCGTCCAGGTTGTGGACAGGGTCGCACAGGATTTCGTAGGGGAGAGGGATAGACACTTTGCAGTGAAGAAGCGAGAAAGTTCGGAGAGATACCCGTTTACTTTCGAACACAGGTCATCAATTCCATTCCCAGTCGCCATGATCGAGCAATCGTCGGCGTAAGAGACTCGAGACTCCCTCTGGTGGTTGAGGGAGCTTTGAAATGTAAAAGTTAAACAGTAGCGGGGAAAGGACACCGCCCTGTGGAACCCCCTGTTTTATTTTCCTGAATTTACTCGTTTTGTCTCTAAACATTACCGACTAGTGTCGACCACTCAGATAATTTGCCGACCACCGTTTGAGCCTCTGTGGGAGAGAGGAGGCCTCTATATCTTCTAGTAGCGTGGAATGGCAGACGGTGTCAAACGCCTTTGACAAGTCCAACGCTACTAGAATCGTTCTCTCACAGGGACGGTTACGGTTAAGGCCACGAGTTATCTGAGTGTTTATGGCGTTAAGTGCTGTTGTTGTACTGTGCACTTTACGGAAACCATGCTGATGCTTCGCTGGGGTCAGGTGGTTTGTGAAGTACGGGAGTAGCAAGGCCTCGAGTGTCTTCGCTACCGGGGAAAGGAGTGTAATCGGACGATACGAATCTCCTTTGTTGGCGGGTTTCCCCGGTTTGAGCAGTGGGACCACTCTCCCCACCTTCCAGATGTCTGGGATGATGAGAGTGGCCATTGACAAGTTGAGGACCTCCGTTAGGTACGCTACCCCCGCAGGACCCAAATTTTTCAGCATCAGCATGCATATTCCGTCGGGACCCATGGCTTTGGAGGCTTTCGCCTTCCCGATGGCCACCTGAACTTCACCGCAAGTGAAAGCAAGGGGGGCACAAGTTGTTGGCAGTTTGTGCAGCCTTCTGGTCACTCGACGCTTGGCTTTGTCCACCGGAGGATGCAGTATGAACTGCCGGCTAAAATAGCTCGCGCATCGCTCCGGGTCCGACGAAGCATGGTCGCCGAAGGAAATTTCGACTCTGTCGTCGTGCTTCGTCGGATTAGACAATGACCTCACGGTTGACCAAAGCTTGCTCACACCAGAGGTGAAATTACAAGTCTTCAGATGCTCCTCCCACTTCTTCCGCTTATGTACGTTTACTAGTTGCCGAATCTCCGCGTTGAGATCCCTGATACGGGGATCTCCGGGATCGGCCTGACGAAGGCTATCACGCTCATCGGCTAGAACAGCCGCTTCGGCAGGGAAGTTTGGACGTGGGTCCGATATACATCCTGCCGGTATGAAGCGAGCTGCAGCAGCAGTGATAGCCCTGCGGAACTTACGTTCACCGAGATGGACGTCGGTTGGTGTGGGGAGCGCTGTGAAGGTGTTTTCGGTAAACTCCGCGTAACCTTTCCAATCAGCTTTAGAAAAGTTGATATAGGTCCGGTGTTTGGCGGAGGCAAAGTCGGTTGGTTTATCTATCGAGATGACTATGGGTAGGTGGTCTGATGCTAAAGTCAGCATAGGTCGCCATGTTATGCTGTTTATCAGACCAGCGCTGACTATGGTGATGTCTGGCGAGCTACTGCAGTTACCCATAATCCTGGTGGGTGCGTCGTCGTTCATTGTGCAGAATGTCGAATCGTCTATCTGCTCAGCCAAGTCTGTTCCCCTACGATCGTTTGACAGGCTTGAGTGCCAAAGATCGTGGTGCGCATTAAAGTCACCTACTACCATACGGTTTTCACCTCTGAGGAGCGCACCTATATCAGGGTGATATCCTGCCGGGCAGCAGGTGACAGGGGGTATGTATATGTTAAATATTTCGAGCTCGACATCGCCTGACCGGATAGCGATGCCCTGACATTCTAGGGTGGTATCCCTGCGGTCGATGTCTGCTTCGATAAGACGATACTGCACGGTGTGGTGCGTGATGAACGCTAAGCCACCACCATTATCTCGCTCGCGATCTCGACTTCCGTCTCTTGGACCGCAGCTATCAATATACCAAGCCGACACATGAAGACGGTTATCTCCTCAATCTTGCTCCGTATCCCGTTGCAGTAAAATTGAAGGAGCTTCATGTGGTTCGGGAGACGTGTCGTGATGTGGGGTGTAAGGGATGTGTGTGTTCTTACCGCCGTTGGCTGTGTGCACTGCTGCGATGGTTACCGTGCAGATTGTAGGGGGAACCAGGAGTTGTCGGCGGCGGCGTGTGGGTAGTGGTGCGGTTGTGTGTGTTATGTGGTCTGTCGTGGCTGTGGTATGGTCTGTGGTGTTATTATGTGGTTGTGCTGTGGTGACTGTGTGAGGCTGCTCAGGTGGACCGAGGTTAGCCGTGGAGGCTGCTCTGTTTGAGCAACAGGGGGCCACGTACGACGTGGTCCACTGTCGATGTGTCCGTAGTCCTGAGCAGACTCTAAGGTGACTCCACCCCTCGCAGGCATTACACTTGACTGAGGTGGAGTTGTGGTGTAGACGTCTCTGGCATACACAGCAGGTGTCGATTTCTGGCCCTTGGGTTTGACTCGATGCCAGCCCTGAGTAGAAGAATACGTAGTGAATGTAGCCCTATGGACGAGCAACTTCTGAGATACTTCGCCGACCTAAACGGGGTTAGATCGCCGAAACAGCAGCCCTTGGTCGGGTAAAACCCGAGTCATTCCGGTACGTAAAACCGGCTGTCGTGGGAACGATTAAAATTGGTATTTCTGCATGGTTCCGCTTATTGAACTTTACTTTTACAATGATTTAGAAATGCAAGATAATGATGCTTTGAATTAATGTGTTTAAGAAGACAGCCGTAATGATGTACTTTTACTTGCACACAATATTGAAACGAAATATTTTTAAAAACACAAACGACAAAAAAAGGAAATATAAGGACCGTAAATATACTTTCAAAATCCGAAGTGCGAGTGTTTTATTTCCTACTCCTTGCACATATTTTGGAAGTACATATGTTTGTCTGTAAATACATATGTACATATAAATATGCATTACTTGAAAAAATAATATTATCAAAATGAAATTACGAGTATAAGTTCAGTAGTGAATGGAAAAATAAAAAATATCGAAAGAAAGTTGAATTAATAAGAAATTATATACATGCATGTGTAGCTACAGCATTACAAAAATTGTATTTCTGCTTCTGTTTCCTTCTCTTGGAATCTCAGTATAAGTTTATATACTTCCGCCTTAAATTCGACAGCTAATGTAGGGAACTTCGTGTGCCACTCGCGTCCATTTGCTGTAACGAAACTGCTGTCATCCCAAATATCCGACTTGGAAGCTTCCTCCATGGTCCCCAAAGCGCGTTCTACTACTTTAATATACGACGAATCGTCATTACGGCGTCGTCTCGCGACAATAGTTGGTGTCTGAGTGTTCTCATTTTCTTCAATGGTATCCAAAGTACCCAAGTCCTACAAGGAAACGAAATTAATAATACAATAGAACAAAATATGTGTACTGTAAATTATGCATACATACTATGCAAATTTGAAATTGTTGGTGCCTCCAATCGCAAAGTCGGTTCTAGAAACTTTAACAAATGGAAGATTTGTGGTAGTTGCTTGGTAGAAGCTCCTTGTCCACTCTTTGTTGAATTCATTTTGTTTAAAGTTGTCTGTAATAAACATAGATAGCAAGTATGCATTTAAACTATGAAATAT